GAGAGAGAGAGAGAGAGAGAGAGAGAGAGAGAGAAAGGGAAAGCAAGCTGCCAGGTCTGGGACTTGAACCACAGTCAGCCATGTGGGAATCTAGAGCCTTTAATCATCATGCCACCTGCTTGCCCTGACATGGACCTTTTAATTTAGAATTAGTGTAATTTCTTAATAAATAGAAAGTGGATGCGTTGATATGATTGGCTGGAGGGTAGAGGTTCTCTTTTCCTCCCTGGCTGCTTGAGGATAGACCGTCATCATGAATGACACAGTAACTATCCAACCAGGAAATTCGTGACCAACTGACTCCTTCAGAGGAAACAAATAGTCATTGCTGTCCTTCACCGGATTTTTCATGAGAGGATTAATAAACTAAGAAAATTTTATGTGGAAAAAAACCAAATAGAAAGTGGCAGGGAGATGACAGATATAGGAGATAATCACTTCAATCAAAATACAGGTTTATCCAGACAGGCATACTCTAATTTCTTCTGTTTTCCTTCCTTCCCTCTCTCCTTCCTTGTTAATCGAAGACACACAGGGTTACGCTATTATCGCCAATCCATACAAAGTCCATCCCTTATTTATTAAATTTTTTTTAATTTGTCTAAATTTTTGCCATAGAGCATGCGAGCTTGCTGAAGAGAGACAGAGAAAGAAGGAAAGTGAGAAACTCTCTGTGGGAGGGCCGTGCCACAGTCTCTTCTCCTCATTCTCCTCTTGGAATTTTGGGCACACATGCACACACACCCAGCATGTTTTTCAAGCCTCCAGGTTTGAGATTTGAATCATGGAATTGGCCATGTGGGATCCAGTGTCTTAACCACCCTACCACCTGCTAGCCCCATTATATACATTTTTTATTTAACTAAATATTTTGTGAATTCCAGTATAAAACTAGTTTTTTATTTTCTTTTTTTGCACCGAGTTTGGAACACATGGCTATTCTTGTTCTTTGAACTTGTTTTTAAAAATAAGACATGAATTTGTCTTTGCTACCCTATAATCAAAATTAGTTCTGAATGATCCGATATGCAGTAAAGCCTTATGCTGGGGGGGCAGTCGCTAGCTCGACAATGTAGGGCGAGGACTAAGGTGAGTCGTACGAGGTGACCGTGAACCTCAGAGTAAGTATCTCCTTAGAGTTCGCTCCCTAGGTTCTTCACTTGCCCTAGCTTAGGTCCTGTCCTGAGAAAATAACCTAGGTCCCCAAGTCACAGCATGGAGGGGCTGCCCCGGGCCACTGCATTCCCAGCAGAAGATGATCTGTAAGGAAGAATACTGACTGAAGCTTTCGTGTTCCTACAACATTGGCTAGTCTATCCTGCTACATTCTTAAAAGGGAGAAAAATAGCAAAGAAAACTCCGTAAGGATTGGAACCTGTGGTTGGCCATATGGCTTCCACCATGGCAGGGCAGTTGTTCCTTCAGTGCCATAGTGGATGGGCTTACCATTTATTTGAAAGATTAAACAAAGAAGATTTAAACAGAAATGTTTTGAGGGGGCAGCAGGTGGTGTGGTGGTTAAGGGCACTGGACTCCCACATGGCGGACCATGGTTTAAGTCCTGGACCTGGCAGCTTGCTTTCTCACTTTCTCTCTCTGTCCCTCTCTAGTCAAATTAAAATAAATACATAAAGTTAAAGAAAATGATTCTTTAAAAATATTTAAAAAACTGTTTTGAAAGAAAATAATAAATGGTGGGGACTGCCTCTATTAGACATCCCATAATGAAGGCTATTATAAGGTTTCCATGGAATCCGAAGGGGTCCTGCCAAAGGGATCAGCAAACGGGTCAGTGGAGCAGAAAGACAGACCAGAAACAGTCCCACGTACACACGGGAACTTAGCATATGGCTAGCTTAGCATGTCATCTTTTGAAAAAAATTATTTATTTTTAAAATTGTATTTATTATGATTATTTTAAAAAATTTGCTAGGGGCACATGCACTCACCAGAAAGAGATGAGAGAGAGAAAGTGAGAAAGCAAGTCACCAGATCCAGTACTCGAACCGTAGTTGGCCGTGTGACAGTCCAGGGCTTCAACCATTGTGCCACCTGCTGGCCCCCTAGGGTAGCATTTCAGATCAGGAAAGAATGGACAAATTACAAAATTGGGTTAAGACAGCCACCTATTTAAAAAAAAAAGGATGCTACATGATTTCAACCTTGCAAAGTCTCAGAAATAAACAAAGCGTTATAAATAAAGTATTTTAAACAAACCAAGTGTTATAGGAAAATATACCCTTGTAGTTAGGAGCTATTATAGAAGAAATATGAAGCTGTGAGAAACACCTTCATGAATTTGATAACATTAAAATGAATGTTTTAAAAAGAGTTTTGAAAGAAAATAATAAATGGTGGGGACTGCCTCTATTAGACATCCCATAACGAAGGCTATTATAAGGTTTCCATGGAATCCGAAGCCCCATGGCTCAGTAGTTAAAGGAAATGGATCCAACCAATGTTGAATCCTGGCTCCCGATGGCTTGAAACATACACTAAGCATGTGCGTATGTGTGCCCCAAATCCCGACAGGATGGCAAGATGATGGAGAGGGATTGCAGTGTGACCACACCCCATTTTTCTTCCCAGCCCCACCTCTCTCTCTCTCTGGCAAGTGCGTGTGGCCCCTGGCAATTTGAAAAAAAAAAATTAATGTATAAGGATACCATAAACAAAGGGAAAAGCACATGCTGCTTACATAGTAGCAAATATTAAATCCCTGGAATATCTAACAACCCCTCCTAGTTGATAGGAAGACGATGCATGCCCAGTAGGAGAACGGTGCAGGTGAATACTGGCAACTTACACGTAAGCTTGGACAAAGGCGCTCCGCCCGTCGAGAGTCAGCCTGGCGGCGCGGCAGCTCTCATGCCTGAAAAGCTTTGTCGCATTCTGCACGTTAAACCCGGGAGAAGCAAGCGCCTCGCCCAGACCAAGCACATAACGTCGAGACCGAGTCACCTGTCAAACGGGCCTTCCCTGTCTGCTCGCCACCGTTGACGTTTGTTCTTCCCACCCCCACTCCTCAGCTGGCAAAACGAGGACTCAATGTTGTGCTGATCAGCCGGACTCTGGAAAAACTGCAGGCCATGGCCGCAGAGATTGGTGAGTGACCCCCAAGGGGGAGCTGTTTGTGGAGCCCGCCTCCCAGGTAGCTCCTGCCCTACCTGCAGTGTGTTCCCACCTCTGCTCTCCGGAGCCCGGAACACCAAGTCCTCCTGGGAGGAAGCCAGTTTCCAAAGTAAAAGACAGGATTTTAAACGTTGGCCCGAGCTCATTATTGATTCTGCAGGTGAGGTGAAGTGGGGGGCACAGACTCAGGCACAAGCAGATCCACATTCTCCTTTGGTCTCTTTCCTTCAGGCCCCAGCTGCCTGGTTGCTTCTGTCTCTCCCGCCAAAATTAGGATTTGTGTTGGGTTCTTTATTTCACCATGTCTATGTTGTGCTTCCTGCTGGAGGATGAGGAATGATAATTACTGGTGGTTGTCAGATTTCAAAAAGAAAGAGAGGGACCAGCACTTGGCATAATGGCTATGTCACTGGACTCCCATGTAGTCGACCACAGTTCGAGTCCCAGACACTGTGGCTTAAAACTCACGCCAGGCGTGTATGTGTGCATGCCCAAGATCCTGAGAGAAGAATGGAGGAGAAGGGATTGTGGTGTGGCCATTCCCCCAGGGGATGATTTCTCTTTCTGTCTCTCTGTCTCTCTCTGTCTTTCTGGCGAGTGCACACGCCCTATAGCAAAAACCTCTCCAAAAGAAAAAGGAAAGAAAGAGAAAGAAATAGAAGTAAGTAAGAGAGAAACAAATAGAAAAGAAAGAAAGAAAACGAAAGAGAAAGAAAGAGAAAGCGATTTGATCTAGAGATGATGTTTAAGGTTGTGAAGGTTGTGCACTGTACAACCCTAAAGGTAGATTTTATATTATAATGTTTTAGTATGATTCACTCTGAATTGTCCTTAATAATGATCATAACATTTCTTTTGGAGGATTTAACCTTTAATAATTATTAACTTAATTATTAGTAAGCTCTTCAACTCCAAGGGATGAGTGTTCACTTATGAAGGGCAGGCTGCCTGGGTTTGGCCTTGCCTCTGTGGAGGAGCCTGAGGATCAGATGGGTGTGGCTGTGGGGCTCAGTGCCCTTGAGCCACTGAATTCTGCTTTTGTTTTGTGTCTTGATATTAGAGGAAATGTTGGCTAGGACTGAGACGTTCCTCAGTGTTTGTCTCACAGTGCTAAAATGTGCTTTGTATCATATTTTTGAAAACCAAGTATTTTCTTTAGACTGCAAGTAACTCCCTACCCCAAAACTACACTTCAAGCTACTTGGCCAGAAACATTGGGTCTAACTCCAAAGCTAAAGCAGTGTACCAAGCAGTTGGCAAACTCTGCTTGTGTAGCTTTTCTTTCTTTCTTTCTTCTTCTTCTTTTTAAAATAATTAAACTCATTTTATTTATTCATTAATTTGTTTTAATGTGGCCAGAGAGAGACAGAGAAAGTGAGAAAGCAAGCCACCAGGTCTGGAACTCCAATGGTAGTCTTCTATGTGGGAGTGTCCAGCGCCTTAACCACCTCGCACCTGCTGGCCACATCTGCTTGTAGCTTTTCTATCTGCCGGGCAGCTCCTGCACAAGGCAGGCTAACACAGAGCGTGGGCGGAGCACCGGAACCGGGCGTGGTCGGGGCAGATGCCAGTGGGCGAGTCGCCGAGCTTCCCAGGGCCTCGTTTTCTCCTCCAGAAAGGGGGAAGAATAGTATCTACATCCCAGGGTTGTAGGAATGGATACAAATAAGATACTGTGTATTTAAATGCCTTACGAATGCTCAAGTGCTGGACAAGTCCAAAGGTGTGGGGTCTGTTGGGAGGGGACCTGACACTCGCTGAGCAGAGGACGCCGGTCACCTTGCTTTTACTGCCGTTAGTCCAGGGATTTCCACTCCAGCCTGCCCCACCATCACCCAGAGGTGCAGCAAAAGTGGGTCACTGGTTAAGCTCCATGCCCAGGGTCTCAAATTTCTCATGCTGTCTCCCTGGTTTCTCAGTGACGCTGATGCTGTGGTCTGTACACCCATGTGGCAAACCACCACATTAGATTATTTTGTTGGTGGTGTTTGCCATCGGGTGTGTGTGCTTGCTGGAGGAAGACAGAGAGAGGGAAAGTGAGAAATCACCCACTAGGGGGGAATGGCCCTCATCCTCCATTCTCCTCTCAGGATTTTGGGCACATATGCGCATGGGCCCGGCATGATTTTCAAGTTGCTGGGTTTGGAATCCAAACTGTGGTCAGTCATATGGGATCCAGCGCCTTAACCACCATGCCACTTGATGGCCCCATTAGATTTATTGTAATGCATATACTTGTCACTGTAGTAACTCTTGGAAACACATAGGAACCATCATTCGCCAACCTCTTAGCACCTCCCGGGATTTACTATGTGCTATTTCTTATTTCCAGTTGGGGTAACAGGTTGTCCTTTGAAATATCTGCTCAGGTAGTACAGGGGCATTGGGGGAACTTCATGGGCGAGACGGGGACTTGGGCACCAGTACATTGAAAAGTAACTGTTGTCTCTGACACAGAGGAGACTACGGGGAGTAGAGTGAAGATTATACAAGCAGATTTCACCAGAGATGACATCTATGACTATATTAAAGAAAAACTTACAGGCTTAGAAATTGGAATTTTAGGTAAGTAAATTCCAAAATGTAAAACGTGCAATTACCTTAATGACACTTATTGTTTCATGGTAGCTTAAACTTAGCCCGTGATTATTTTAAGTTGTAGCATTAAACTGAATATTAAAGCTCAATTCTTTTGGAAAATATTTTTTCTTCTTTCTTTCTTTCTCTCTTAATTTTTCTCTCTTCTCTTCTCTTCTCTTCTCTTCTCTTCTCTTCTCTTCTCTTCTCTTCTCTTCTCTTCTCCCTCTCCCTCTCCCCTTCCCTCCCCTCCCCTCCCCTCCTCTTTCCTTTCCTTTCCTTCTTTCTTCTTTAATTTGAGCAGCAAGGGCAGAGAGAGAGAGAGAGGGAAAGTGAGAAAGCAAGCTGAAAGGCTCAGGACTTGAACTGCAGTTGGCCAGGTAGGAGTCCAGCGCCCTTAACCATTACGCCACCTGCCAGCCTCAAAGTTCAATTCTTTAAGAGGCATTCTTGGATTAAAGACATTATAGATGGTTTTGGAAAGTATCACAGTTACATATCCCAACTCTCCCAGCTCTATTTTCTAACATTAAAGTACATTTTCTTTCTTGTTTTCTTTTTTTTTTTTAATGGAGATTTTTGCTATAGGGCATGTGTGCTCGTCAGAAAGACAAAGAGAGACAGAGAGACAGAAAGCGAAAAATCACCCCCCGGGGGGATGGCCACACTGCAATCCCTTCTCCTCCATTCTCCTCTCAGGATCTTGGGCACGCACGCACACGCGCCTGGTATGAGTTTGAGCCACCGGGTCTGGGACTCGAACTGTGGTCAACTACATGGGAGTCCAGCGACATAGCCATTATGCCAACTGCTGGTCCCAAAGTATATTTTCTTTCATAGAAATCACATTGACATTCGGCAGAGAGGGATCCCAGAAACATGAACCTAAAGGAACTAGTTTAGCAAACAAACATTGCTATGACAGATCCATAAAATGGCAAATTGGTGTAATTATTTGAGAATCAATTCTTTTTCTGATTCAGAAAACTGAGCAATATTTTTTCTGCAGTGATTCGGGGACAAATATTCTATAGTCATATGACAGTATACATCTATTGTATAGAGAGGAAAGTAAGATTTGATTTCTAAATTTCCTGGTGAATTAAAAAAAATAATCCCAATTTTACAGACAAAAGTGTAAAAACATAACATTGTAGAAAATTACAAAAAATAAGCTCATACAAGAAATATGAATTTGTAAAAAATCCCAGTAGTCTGAGAGAGCATTTGGCGGCATATCATCCTAGGCACCTGCACACATATTTTCCAAACAGGATTACATGCACATACTTCTTTGTAACTATTTTTTTTTTTGAGACAGGGTCTTGCGATATTGCGCAGGCTGGTCTTGAGTCGCATCCTTCTATCTCAGTCTTCAGGAGCTGGGATCATAAGCATATGTTACCATGCCCAGCTTTGTTTTGTAACATTAAAAAAGAAAAAAAAGAAAAGCATACATCACAACGGTTTTCCCACACCTTAAACTTCTAAGCAGCCAGAGTTTTTGATGACTGAACTGCCTTTCAACACGTGACCGCATCGTGATTTATTTACTGTGTTCCTAGTCTTGAACATTTCTTCTCCAATTTATTTTCTTTCTTTCTTTTTTTTTGGAGAGGTTTTTAGCTATAGGGTGCATGCGCTCGCCAGAAAGACAGAGAGAGACAGAAAGCGAGAAACCACCCCCCCAGGGGGGATGGCCATGCCGCAATCCCTTCTCCTCCATTCTTCTCGCGGGATACTGGGACTGTGGTCAACTACATGGGAGTCCAGCGACATAGCCATTATGCCAACTGCTGGTCCCAAAGTATATTTTCTTTCATAGAAATCACATTGACATTCGGCAGAGAGGGATCCCAGAAACATGAACCTAAAGGAACTAGTTTAGCAAACAAACATTGCTATGACAGATCCATAAAATGGCAAATTGGTGTAATTATTTGAGAATCAATTCTTTTTCTGATTCAGAAAACTGAGCAATATTTTTTCTGCAGTGATTCGGGGACACATATTCTATAGTCATATGACAGTATACATCTATTGTATAGAGAGGAAAGTAAGATTTGATTTCTAAATTTCCTGGTGAATTAAAAAAAATAATCCCAATTTTACAGACAAAAGTGTAAAAACATAACATTGTAGAAAATTACAAAAAATAAGCTCATACAAGAAATATGAATTTGTAAAAAATCCCAGTAGTCTGAGAGAGCATTTGGCGGCATATCATCCTAGGCACCTGCACACATATTTTCCAAACAGGATTACATGCACATACTTCTTTGTAACTATTTTTTTTTTTGAGACAGGGTCTTGCGATATTGCGCAGGCTGGTCTTGAGTCGCATCCTTCTATCTCAGTCTTCAGGAGCTGGGATCATAAGCATATGTTACCATGCCCAGCTTTGTTTTGTAACATTAAAAAAGAAAAAAAAGAAAAGCATACATCACAACGGTTTTCCCACACCTTAAACTTCTAAGCAGCCAGAGTTTTTGATGACTGAACTGCCTTTCAACACGTGACCGCATCGTGATTTATTTACTGTGTTCCTAGTCTTGAACATTTCTTCTCCAATTTATTTTCTTTCTTTTCTTTTTTTTTTTTTTTTGGAGAGGTTTTTAGCTATAGGGTGCATGCGCTCGCCAGAAAGACAGAGAGAGACAGAAAGCGAGAAACCACCCCCCCAGGGGGGATGGCCATGCCGCAATCCCTTCTCCTCCATTCTTCTCTCGGGATCTTGGGCACGCACACACATGCGCCCGGCGTGAGTTTAAGCCACCGGGTCCGGGACTCAAACCACAGTCAACTACATGGGAGTCCAGCGACATAGCCATTATGCTAACTGCTGGTTCCTCTTCTCCAATTTCTTCACGGTTATCAAGTCATGCTGTGATGAACAACTTTGTATATAAATACTTTTGTACTTTTGTACTTCAGGAAGATTTCCCACCTGCTCTTCTGACACATCTTTGTTTTGCTTTTATCTGCCAGTCAACAATGTCGGAATGCTCCCGAACTTGCTCCCAACCTATTTCCTTCATGCGCCTGATGAAGTCCAGGTAGGCCTGGGTCTTTGTACCAGTTTCCTCTCACCCAAGCGCTAGGCCCTTGCTGCACAGCTTGTCACCAAGGCCTGGGAAGGGGTCATGGGAAGTGGGTCTGGCTAAGATTCTGCGTTGCACGGTGTATGTCTTGAGGCGTCCCATTCTTGTCACTTTAGTGCTTGATACACAGTCAAAGGTACCAGTTTTCATGACCATCTCTAAGATAAGGACATGTTCCTCCATTTCCATACATCACAACTTACCCGCCTATTGTCCTATCCTTCCGGGGCTCCACACTGTGCTTTGTAGGGGTGCAGTTCATAGCTGTGGACATATGTAGGAGAAAGCCAGCATCTTTGACTTTCTCTTTCTTTCCACGTAGTAAGATTTGTTCAATTTTCAGAGGGAGGGTAGTACATGATGCAGGTTTCCGGTTTAGGGTATTTTAAATTCAGTAAGCTCAGACTATGTGTGGCTGCCATTGTTGGTCATGAGTACATTGTTTACACTTTTAGTAGTCCCTTGAAGGCACCATTTGTTATTTCCCAGGCCCTGTCTTTGGAAGTCATGGGGTTGAACTGGTCTGGGCAGACTATCACGTTTCCATTCCCCCATTCCATAGGTCTTCCTATGGTTCTATTTAAGCCTTGAATCTATTGCTTTGGCATATAATACCATGTCCCCGAAACGTTGCAATACATCCTCGTTCTTTCTGGACCACACATCAGCCCCATGGCTTGTTTTCCACATTCCCTTTTTCTGGCACGAATCTATCTTTCTGCAGAGTAAGTACTACTGGGTTGTCGGAAAAGTCATGATGTATTTTTTCTGTGTTTTTTTTTTTTTTTTTAATGCAAAAATGCATCATGACTTTTCTGAAAACCCAATATTACTGTTTATCTTTCTCTCTTTACGTCTGTGTTTGTGCTTGTGTCTGTCCTTTTGTCTGTTTTCTCTCTGTCTTGGGTGATTCTAGTATTACATTTCCTTACATGGCCTCTGTAGCCCATACCCTCTACCTTGTATTATACAACCATTCATCATTCTATTCTCTATGCTATTGTCTCCTCAACCCACATAGGCACACACCTCTTCTTCCAGCTATAAATGGAATGTTTCCCTTTGAAAAACTGTCCATATTTATCCCTACATATTCAAATAAACTTTTAATTAACTTCTATTCAAGATCACAGAATTACAGAATCAGGATGCATGTCAGATATTTCCAAGTTCAAGGGTATACTTGCTGAACATCAATTAGGAGCCTAATTTGCAGGCTGAGTGAGTGATGGAACCACTCAGACACACACCTTTGCCTACTTTGTGACTCCTTAGCACCATTTCCCAAGAGAATGTCTCTATCCATCGGGCTGATTCCTGGTTGTGGTTATGTGTTACAGAGCCTCATCCATTGTAACATCACCTCAGTTGTCAAGGTATGTGATCGGTATGTGTGCTAAATGCATTAGCAGAGTAGCTGTTGGAATTTTACAACTCAGGAATATGGTTTTCTTCCACTATAGAAGCAGGATTCTTTGAAATTGAACTGCACTTGATTGAGAAGCCATGTAACAGTCTTTTAATGGCCTTTTTCTGTTTTCATCAAGAAAATACAGTGATGGAGCCAGAAGGTGGCATGGTGGTTAAGGTGCTGGACTCCCACATGGCTGATAGTGATTCAAATGCTGGACCCAGTGGTTTGAAACTCACACCATGTACGCTGCATGCCTAAAATTCCAGGAGGAGAATGGAGGAGAAGGGATTGTGGTGTGGCCATGCTCCCCTCCCCACACACACCCCCTGGGATGATTTCTCACTTTCCCTCTCATTGTCTTTGGCAAGCACACATGCCCTAAGGTTAAAAACTCTAAAAAAATTTTAAGAAAGAGGGACCAGCAGTTAGCGTAATGGCTGTTGCTGGACTCCCATGTAGTTGACCGCGGTTCGAGTCCCAGACCCGGCGGCTTAAACTCATGCAGGGCGCATGTGCATGCGTGCCCAAGATCCTGAGAGGAGAATGGAGGGGAAGGGATTGCGGCATGGCCATCTCCCCTGGGGGGTGACTTCTTGCTTTCTGTCTCTCTGTCTCTCTCTGTCTGTCTGGTGAATGCACGCGCCCTATAGCAAAAACCTCTCCAAAAAAAAAAAATTAAGAAAGAAAAAGAATAGTCACAGCCTGATGCTGTATGACTTGGTGAGTAGATGGATGATTTTGTGTGAGCAGAATGTTGCCCCTTCCTCTGTGGGTTGAGAGCCCTCTTCCTCTGCCAGGGAATGTGGTTTGAGAGAGTCCTGAGCTTTCAGTATGCACTAACCCTGCCGCCAAACCACCTTGCTCGGCACACCACGTTGACAACTGTACATGGTGACCCTGGTGACCACTCTGGTCAGTAGAAATGCAGTGATGAATAAGGTATGACCCCTGATTTCAAGGAGCTGGGACTCTGTCTGGGGAAGAGGGGAGGTGTAATCTCACTCATTTGCACCACATGGACGGGCAGTGGAGGGTAACTGGTTTCCTAGAGGAAAACCTGGCTGTTGTCAACATTAGGAGGGAAGCTGAATGCTGAGCAGACCAAAAGAAAATTTTTAGACGGATAAAGTTGGACTGACAACAATTATTTTCACTGTTGGTTGTTTCTCTGTAAGCCTATCAGTATTTTATAGTTTCCTGCTCAGTTATTATTGGGTACTCACATGTTTTATTATGCTGAGCAATCAATGGCTTTTGAAAGCCCCCAACTGATTTAATTTTAAGTTTTATATGTCCAGCTGTTGTCTGCAGCCTTACCACTAAAATGCTTCACATTATTTTACACATTGATCTTCCAGTCTTGGGCTCTTTGATCATAGGGGTTTCGTAAATGTACTTGACAACCCTCCGACTCCTTTAGCAGAGAAATGCTTTGATTTTTTTAAAAAAATTATTTTATATATTGGTAGACACTCAGTTGCCTGAGTAACAAAGAAAATAAATGGAAGATTAGCGTCTAAGTATGCCATGCCCCAATTAGCCATGCTGGTTGGAAGTGTGGCCAGCATTGCTTAATTATTTCAAAAGATCCATCTGGAAACAATAGAGTTCTCTATCAAGGGCAGAGATGGGAGAATATGAATCTGAGGTGAAAGGAAGGTAGGATAAGAGACCAAATACTGGGTGCTTTGGCACAGGGGCCCATGAGGTTGGCTGTTGTTGTCTCTCAAGTTGGGATCATCCACCCAACAAGACCATGAATTCATTAGGGAAGACTTTGAGAGATGCTATCCACAGGCTCCAATAATACCCCCAAGTGATGCTGCAGAGTCTGGGAAGGGGTATTGATACTAACCAATCCCTCATTCTTCTCTTAACTCCCTGAGATCCAGTGTTTCAGAAACCATCCAGTGATTCTTGAGAGTTCTGTTACTTGGACAGGTTCTTTGAGACAGGCTTGGGGCCTAACCTAGGGCCAGAAACTACGGTAGAACAGAACTCCTGAGAGGCCACTGCAGGGCCTTTAGACAACATGGAAAAATTGTCTTCTTTTCTCTAGTCTCTTTTACAAGGGGTCTTCAAAAAAGACTCACAAAAGATGTGTATTATGCAAAAACTACGCATAGATTGGAATTTTTTTGGCATCAAAATAAACTCGTGTTCGAATCCCATTTTTCCACAAGGGTTTTGAAGTCTCCTACTATCGCCGCACTGTTCTTCTGTTTGGATCTTCTCTTGTCTCAGGCTTGCTTTTAGGACAAGACCTGGTTCCAGTTAATTGTATTTTAGAGAACATTTTAGTCCCTGAGGTCTCTTTCTTAATTCATAAAATGTGTGCCTTGCAATTATGAAGTGCAAAGCTCTTTTAGTGAAGTACTTAGGCTCTGGAGTGGCAGGGAAGATCTCTATAGGGGCCAGAAGGGTGAGGGTTGAGGGGGAAGAAACTTTTCAATGTTGTTGTAATTCCAAAGGGCAGGCATGGCACATGCTCTGTCTATGGAACTATTTCTTTCTTTCTTTCTCCTTATGTGTGTGTGTGTGTGTGTGTGCATGTGTGTGTGTGCATGTGTGTGTGTGTGCTGGAGAGTGCATGTATATGTAACAGAGAAAGAGAGTACATTTGTAAATTCCCCAATAGAGTCTGATCACACCACAGTTCTTTTCTTTTTTTCAATTCTCCATCCCTTAAGGATCCTGGACATGTGTATATGTACCTGGCAGAACACCAGGACTGGGACTCAAACCTTGGTCGACCATGTGGGATTTGCAGCACTTCCCCCACACAGGGTTTAACCGCTGTGCTATGAGCTGACCCCCATGGAGATAGCTCAGAGACCACCTGGAGGCCGTGGATGCTGCTGCTATTGATGAGAGAGATGCCCTTCTCCATCTCACACCTGGCACATGAGCTGCTCGAGATGTTTGTCAGTTTTCTTGATAGTTCCCCAATTACGGCTTATGGGTGAGATTTTATGATGGCCAGGCTTTTGCTATAGGGCATGTGCACTTGCTGGAAAGACAGAGGGAGACAGAGAGACAGAAAGTGAGAAATCGCCCCCTGGGGGAATGGGAATCTGGGAATCTTGGGCACTCACGCACATGTACCTGGCGTGAGTTTGAGCCGCTAGGTTTGGGACTTGAACCCCATGAATCACTCGAGGGGTCATGCCATATGCTGGTCTCACTCCCACAATTTTCTACTGCTCTCCCTTTCCAGAAAGACTTTAGTTTTTGAGAGAGCCACACTGCAATCCCTTCTCCTCCATTCTCCTCTTGGGATCTTGGGCACGTACGCACACGTGCCCGGCGTGGGTTTTAAGCCACTGGGTCCGGGACGCGAACCGCGGTCGACTACGTGGGAGTCCAGCGACATAGCCATTATGCTAACTGCTGGTTCCCAACCTGGGGTGAGTTTGAGCCACTAGGTTTGGGACTTGAACCCCACGAATCACTCGAGGGGTCATGCCATCTGCTGGTCTCACTCCCACAATTTTCTACTGCTCTCCCTTTCCAGAAAGACTTTAGTTTTTGAGAGAGAAAGAAAATTGTCTCTGAACGGTTTGCCTTTGGCCTGGGTTGCCTCCTATGCGTTCAGCCAGATGCTAATGTGGTCAGAATGGCCTCCAATGGCAGTCCACAGTGTAAGGGCCACCTGAGAAAGAGCAGTGTAGCAAAGGGGGTGATTTCTTTCCCGACCTTCCGCTAGTACGTGCTTCCCAGTCTCCTGCCCGCTGCTACTTCGGTCCTCTGTCGGGGTTTAACTTTGGCCTTCTCTTACAGATGACGCAACTGGTGCTGAAACACATGGAGTCAAGGTAAGGTCTTTGAGCAAGTGCGAAGCCACGTGGCCTCCCTGCCCCGGCAGCCAGCTAGCTGGGGACGGTGGGAGTAGGTCCCTGTGGCAGCTGTCTTAGTGATTGGTAAGTGGGAGAGGCGGACATGGAGACTATGGGATAGAAACATGACACCCCAGGCCAGGCCAGCTCTGCAAATTGCTGAGCATATTTGAAGGTCAAGTGTAACACATATTGGAGGAAGGAAGAAAACGGGTTTACATTGAATTAAAAAAAAAAAAAAAGTGTGTGTGTTGTGCATAAAAGAAAAGGCCATAGGTTGGCTTGAGACCAAGAATATCTCTTTATTATTATAAATTTCAACTTTTGTCAGAGTGAAAAGTCCAATTTAAGGGTAAAAAATCACCACCCTATCAATTTCTCTGTCTGTTCCATGTTGATATCATCCTGATACAATGCCCATTTGGGAGCTGTTTTTTGGCTGGTGGTTTTCATTAAAAGCACGTGGTTGAAGCCAGCAGATGGCATGGTGGTTAAGGCACTGGACTCCCACATGGCTGACTAGAGTTTGAGTCCTGGACCCAGTGGCTTTAAAGTCACCTCAGGCTCATATGTGTGCATGCCCCAAATCCCAAGAGGACAATGGAGAAAAAGGGACTGCAGCATGGCCACCACTCTAGGGGATGACTTCTCACTTTCCCCTTCTGTGTCTCTCACTGAAGACTGCACATGCCCGTGGCAAAACCTAAACATACAAACAAAAACACATGGCTGATTGTTTTATCTTCCCTAGAGGAAGAGGGCCTTGGCTTTGTGTTCTGTTAATAATCTGCCAGTTTCGCCCTCCACCCCAACATCTGTTTAATTGGAAAAGGTTAAGTATATTAAATTTCAAAATAACAAGTAAGGCCTCTGTGGAATTCTGTAGAGGTGTCTGTGAGCAGATGATGGTGTGTCAAATTCTACTCGAGGTGGATTCTATCATGTGACATCTGTCCTGCAGGGTCAGTTTGTGAGTCCACAGGACTTGGAGCTCTCGTGGTCACATCTAAAGGAGAATCCTTTCCTCCGATCTTGTCGGGGCTGAGTTGGTTACCTGCATTTTGGAGAGGATGCGTTAGTCATAGCAGAACGTCTGTTTCTGGTCACAAGCTCTAGAAGTCACGAGGCTGCCAAGTGACATCGTTGAGCAGTGTCCTCCTCTAGAAAGCAGGGCGGTTCCACTGAGTTCTCAGAAGCAGAGCACTTAGCACAAGTGGAAGGGCAGAGTTGGGAGGTGGCTTCTTTCTACTCAAGGTGGGATCAGGCAGCAAAGCAATGAAGCTTTGCCTTTTTGCCTTTCAGGCGGAAAGGTCTCATCTTGAACATTTCTTCCGGGACAGCCCTCTTCCCTTGGCCTCTGTACACCATGTACTCGGCTTCCAAGGTGAGTGATGCCATGCAGCCCCAGCCTCTTCCTTCTTCCTCGTATTTTTCTTTTTTCTTTTCAGAACATAACACATTGTTAGTGACTTGTGACTGTAAAATAGTAGAACTTCACAAAGCATACTTCTCTATTAGCTACTTCTGCTTGACAAGTTACCGTGAACTTAGTGGTTCAAACAACACTCTGATTTATGAAGATTTGGCTTAGATTTTTTTTTTTTACTTTATAATTTTGTGAAGTGATACACATTCAGAAGAAACCATATTTGAAATGTTGATCTTTTCCTAGGCTAGTGAGATACTCTCATGGTGTGGGGCAACCGCAGCAGACCATTCTGTTTTTATTTTTAGTACAGTGTTCAATACATTATGTGGTTTATCCAGTGGGTTTTTTTTTTTTTTAATTGTAGGCTTCTCTTTTTTCTACACCATTTAAAAGAAATGAATCATAATATGTTATCTTTTTCAACCATAAACATTTTTTGTCAAAATAAAATGTGGAAAACTATACAAGTCTGAAGTACACAGCTAGATGAATCGTCACAGGAAATGCACGTTTTTAACCAGCACACAAGTCAAGAACTACACTATTACCAGACTCCTTCCTCTCTGCTCTTTTCTTTTTTGGAGAGGTTTTTGCTATAGGGTGCGTGCGCTCGCCAGAAAGACAGAGAGAGACAGAGAGATAGAAAGCGAGAAATCACCCCCCCCAGAGGGGATGGCCGTGCCGCAATCCCTTCTCCTCCATTCTCCTCTCGGGATCTTGGGCACGCACATGCATGCGCCCAGCATGAGTTTAAGCCACCGGGTCCGGGATGCGAACCACGGTCGACTACATGGGAGTCCAGTGATATAGCCATTACGCTAACTGCTGGTCCCCCTCTTGTTCTTTTCTATCACGACCTCCTTCCAACTATCATGTACTTACAGCTTTCCTGATTTGCAGCACCATGGATTATTTGTATTTGTTTTCTAATAAAAATCAAATAATTATACAGATTTTTTATTTCTGTGTTTCTTTCTATTTCCCATCCTTTTAGCAGGATGTTTTTTAAATTTATTTTCATCATAATCTTGTTTATATTACATTGAATCACATATAACCTTACGGTGTATCACGTTTCTTTTTCCAGAAGGAATACCACACACATCAGTCAATACAGAGATATTAAAATCCCCATTTCATCATCCAAAAGCTTTTTGTTATTTTCCCGCTCATCATTATCATTATTATTATTCCAATTATTTTTTTTAACAGTCAATCACTACTTCTCATTTTGCTTATAAAAATACTTTCCCTGGGACCAGTAGTTAGCGTAATGGCTATGTCGCTGAACTCCCATGTAGCCGACCACAGTTTGAGTCCCGGATCTGGTGACTTAAACTTATGCCGGGCACATGTGGATGCGTGCCCAAGATCCTGAGAGGAGAATGGAGGAGAAGGGATTGCGGCGTGGCCATCCTCCCTGGGGAGTGATTTCTCGCTTTCTTTTTCTCTCTCTCTGTCTTCGGGCGAGCACACGTGCCCTACAGCAAAAACCTCTTTAAAAAAATACTTTACCCAACATGAAATTCTTCTCAGATCAATCTAGTTGAGAATACTATACATGTCGTCATCAACAGGTAATCAACAATATCTGTGTCCTACTAATGTCATGCCTCTCTATTTATTCTCTTGCTATCTTTGTCTATACTCTTCTCCCACCCCATTCCACACTGTCTTATCCTCGTTAACTATTTTCACTGCTTTTATGCCCACCAGTATTTTGATCTCTACCACAGAGTATGGATAGTCAGTATATATTAAGTGGATTTGTATAATATCTTTCTTTCATATCTCGGCTTACTTCACTCAGCAATAGATCCTCCATATCCAACCACTTTATATCAAATGCCAGGGTCTTGTTGTTTTCATGGCTGAGTAGTATTCCATAGAGTATATGTGCCCTTCCTCGTATTTTTCTCACTCTGGTTTGGATCATCGGGCAAGTCGGGGCAGCACAGGTCAATGGGGCAAGTCTGTGCAAATTAGAAAAAGTGCCCCCAGGGGGCAGAGGGGACACTGCTGGTACACAGCTTGGCGGGCTGTCCCTGGCATCCCAGCTCTGCTGGCCTTCTTGGCTGGCAGCCCTTGCTCTCTTCCTGTTGAGCAGTAACATGGCAGCTTCCTCCAGGCTGGCAGTCCAGCCTCCTGTCCCCATACCGTAGTCATTAAAACAGTCATCGAGGTAGTGGGTGCTTTTCCAGGGAGAGTGTCACCAGGAGGTTCATCTTTTTTTTTTTTTTTCAAGGTTTTTGCCATAGGGCATTTGCTGGAGAAGAGCGAGGCAGAAAGACAGTGAGAGGGAAAGTGAGAAATCGCTCCCCCTCAGCCCTGAGACAATGGCTATGCCGCAATCCCTTTTCCTCCACTTCTCCTGGGGTGCTGGGCATGCACGCACACACACCTGGCATGATTTTCAAGCCACCAGGTCTGGACTCAAGCCACGGCCACCATATGGTTTAGGTCCAGTGCCTAAACCATCACACCACCTGCTGGCCCAGGGACATTCATCTTATGCATGGCCCTAGGAATGGGTCTCCATTGAGGGAGGGTGCTCTTCCACACCAGAGCTCCCGTCAAGATAAGCTGCTGGATTTCTTTTTCTCTACTTTCTCCCCACCACCCACGTCCAGTTTTATTAAGGTATATTTGACAAAGTTGTATGTATTAGGGAATCACCATAGCCTAGAAGTTAAGGGAGCTAGATCCCACATGGATGACAACAGTTTGAATCTGGGCCCAGGTGGCTTTGAAAACATGCCAGGCATGTGTGTGTGCATGCCTCTAATCTCAACAGGATGGAGAAATGGAGGAGGAATTGTGGCATGACCACATCCCATTATGGGCTGCTTTCTCCCTCTCGCTCTGTGTCTCTCTGGAGAGTGCACATGCCCTCTGGCAATTAAAAAAGTTGTAGGGGCCAGCAGGTTGCATAGTGGTTAAGACGCTGAACTCCCACATGGTCGACTGAAGTTCAAGTCCCAGACCCCGTGACTTGAAACTCATGCCAGGTGTGTGTGCATGCATGCCCAACATCCCAGGAGGAGAAAGGATTAATATATCCTCAACCTCACATATGAGAGGATTTAAAAAGTTTGTGAAAAATGAAATTATGGGTTTATTTTGGTACAAAAACAAATTGAAGTCATGCATAGCTTTTTCATCATACACATTTTCCATGAGTTTTTAAAAGCAGTTCCATGATTTATTAAAGCAGCTTTAGCTTTAATAAATCAAAGAAATGCTAAGGAACTTTGCTTAAAACTTAAAGCCAGGAAACAGGCTAGGATTCTGTTCAAATAGTAGGTACATAAACCTATTGGCAGCTCAAGACAGGACAAAAATCCTTAAAACTGGAAAACAAAACCTAAAAGAAAAAGTCACAAAATTCTATTTCACCAGTTCAGTCTCATGTACTTAATCTATCTTCTGTTGTGGTTCGATCTTCCCAGATAAATTCTGAGATATAATATTCAACTCCAGACTTGTCTCTACAATTAAATTGGCCATTTTAGTATTTGAACTCTTATTTCTGTGTGACTGTATTTAATTTCCCTGGTATAGCACTCCCTTGAGAACTTCTTGGAGATCTGGTCTGGTGTTGGTAAATTCTTTCAGATTTTGTTTATCTGATAATGTTCTTGTCTTTTCTTCCCATATGAAGGATAATCTTGCTGGATACAGTATATATGGTTGAAATTGCTTTTCCCTTAACACTTTGAGTATATTTTCCTATTCTTTCCTCACTTGCATTGTTTCCGATGAGAGGTCTGCTGTTAGCCTGATGGGATATCCTTTGTAGGTAACTTGACGTTTCTCTCTTGCCAATCTCAGGATCTTGTCTTTGTCTGTGGTTTTAGCCAATCTGGCTATAATGTGTCTTGAAGAAGATCTTATTGGGTTGATTTCATTTGGGGTTCTTTGTATTTCTTGGGGATGGATTTTTGAATGCCTCTCTAGATTTGGAAAGTTTTCTTGCAGGATTTCATGGAATAGATTATCAATGCCCTTATGAGTCTCTTTGCCTTCTGGGATACCAAGTATCCAGATGTTTGGATGTTTGATGGTATCTAGCTAGTATTTCTCGTATATTATTCTTATTTTTTGGGGCAATTTTCTCAGTCTTTGTGGTGGAATTTTCTAGGCCAGTGATTCTATCTTCTGCATCTGAGATTCGGTTTTCTGTATGATCTAGTCTTATTTTAATACTTTCAAGGGAGGTTTTGACTTCCAGTATTATAGCCTTCATTTCTAACAGGTTCATTTGATTCTTTTTAATAGCTTGTGAATTTCCTCTTTCAGATCTTGCAAGAATTTCCTCACCTCCTGGAACTCATCAACTCCTTTCTCCTGCCTCTTCTGCAGTTCATTGTCGCTCTTCTCTTCCATCTTTGTTAGCTTTGTCACTATGAATATTCTAAATTCTTTCTTTATGTGACATCTCCGTGAGTTTCATTGTAGTATCTGAGGATGAAGAGGAGTTATTCTTTTCCCTTGGAGGGACTCGAACCATCGTTAGCCATTTGGGAATCTCCAGCTACCTAGCCACCACACCACCTGCTGGCCTCCTTGCATTAATTTTTTTGTGTGGCAGAGACATTTAAGATCTGCTTTCCTGGTGGAAAACTAGTAGAGCAAAAATGAACAGTACCCATCATAATGAGGTGTTCTTTTTTGAAAATGATGAATATGGTAATATCCTTGATTTGATTATCACTCACTCCCTACACACTTTGAAAATCCATAGTATACCCCACAAAGATGTGCAACAATTAAATGTAAATAAAAAATCATAAAATAAAATAGAAAAAATAAGAAAAAAAGACCTCCCTGGTAGTTTTCAAGTATTCATACATTAGTGTATGACAGTAGCCCCCCGCCCCCATTCACGGGGATGTGATCCAAGATCCCCAGTTGATCTTCAAACCATGGGTAGTGCTAAACCTCTTCATGCTATGTTTTTTCCTATATGGACATAACTTTGACAAAATGTTATTTATTAATTAGGCACGATAAAAGATTAACAACAATAACTGGTACTAAACTAGAACCATTATTATAATACACTGTAATGAAAGCCAGGTGACTGTGGTCTCTCTCAAAATCTCTGATTGTCCTGGAAGCAACTGTCGTTAGCCTGCAGTTGACTGCGTGTAACTAAACCTCAGAGAGCAAAACTGCAGGCAACAGGTGCCTCCGTATAGTTCTCGTGGTCTCCAGAACTCCATCCTCCACCACAGGAACTTGGTCCCCTTTGGCCCACCCTCCTTGCTGTATTTTAAGGTAGAGCAGGTGGTGTCTCTGTGATGTCCTATGAAATCTGGATGACCCGGCTGTGGTGGAGGGCACAAGCTCTGGGCCTGAGTGCTTCTCCTTCTTACTCTAGGCGTTCGTGCGAGTGTTTTCCAAGGCCCTGCAAGCGGAATATAAAGCAAAAGGAATCGTCATCCAGGTGAGGTGGACAACTGTGAGTGGGAACTCTGCCCTGTGGAGCCCAGTCCTGCCTCCCGCAGGTGGGGTCCCCTGCAGGTCTGACCGTGCATGTACAGCCTGCAGGAGATGGGCTGGGAGACACAGGTCACAGTGGCAACTGCAGCCACCGTGGTGCCCCCTGCAGCTGTGGCTCCTTCCACCCTCCTCTGTACCCTGGATACTGGAGGATGAAATGGAGCATGGGGAGCGGTTGCTCGGAAATGCTGGGGTCCTCTCGCCACGTGGTATTGCAACAGAACAGAAGTTGGAGTCTCTAACCGTGTTTTCCTCTCTGACAGGAGATAGGCTTAAGTGGGAGGAACTGTGGAGAAGGGACAGCAACGTGAAAACCCTAGGCACATGATCTGTGTTGGAAAGAGGGGAGGGCCTAGTAATAGGGAAGGGGTCTGCCCTTGGGTCGTTGGTCTGTGATGGACCACAGAGACGCCCACCCTGGTTCTCGGGCAGTAGGGGAAGGGGCATTCTGCTTTCCTTCCCTCTACGATACAGAGCTGGCATGGAGGTCACCTGTCCTGACCTAAGTAGAGCTGACTTGTCATTGCTGGCTGCAGGCTGGGCACGGCTTCTCAGTCTTTGTGGTGGAATTTTCTAGGCCAGTGATTCTATCTTCTGCATCTGAGATTCGGTTTTCTGTATGATCTAGTCTTATTTTAATACTTTCAAGGGAGGTTTTGACTTCCAGTATTATAGCCTTCATTTCTAACAGGTTCATTTGATTCTTTTTAATAGCTTGTGAATTTCCTCTTTCAGATCTTGCAAGAATTTCCTCACCTCCTGGAACTCATCAACTCCTTTCTCCTGCCTCTTCTGCAGTTCATTGTCGCTCTTCTCTTCCATCTTTGTTAGCTTTGTCACTATGAATATTCTAAATTCTTTCTTTATGTGACATCTCCGTGAGTTTCATTGTAGTATCTGAGGATGAAGAGGAGTTATTCTTTTCCCTTGGAGGGACTCGAACCATCGTTAGCCATTTGGGAATCTCCAGCTACCTAGCCACCACACCACCTGCTGGCCTCCTTGCATTAATTTTTTTGTGTGGCAGAGACATTTAAGATCTGCTTTCCTGGTGGAAAACTAGTAGAGCAAAAATGAACAGTACCCATCATAATGAGGTGTTCTTTTTTGAAAATGATGAATATGGTAATATCCTTGATTTGATTATCACTCACTCCCTACACACTTTGAAAATCCATAGTATACCCCACAAAGATGTGCAACAATTAAATGTAAATAAAAAATCATAAAATAAAATAGAAAAAATAAGAAAAAAAGACCTCCCTGGTAGTTTTCAAGTATTCATACATTAGTGTATGACAGTAGCCCCCCGCCCCCATTCACGGGGATGTGATCCAAGATCCCCAGTTGATCTTCAAACCATGGGTAGTGCTAAACCTCTTCATGCTATGTTTTTTCCTATATGGACATAACTTTGACAAAATGTTATTTATTAATTAGGCACGATAAAAGATTAACAACAATAACTGGTACTAAACTAGAACCATTATTATAATACACTGTAATGAAAGCCAGGTGACTGTGGTCTCTCTCAAAATCTCTGATTGTCCTGGAAGCAACTGTCGTTAGCCTGCAGTTGACTGCGTGTAACTAAACCTCAGAGAGCAAAACTGCAGGCAACAGGTGCCTCCGTATAGTTCTCGTGGTCTCCAGAACTCCATCCTCCACCACAGGAACTTGGTCCCCTTTGGCCCACCCTCCTTGCTGTATTTTAAGGTAGAGCAGGTGGTGTCTCTGTGATGTCCTATGAAATCTGGATGACCCGGCTGTGGTGGAGGGCACAAGCTCTGGGCCTGAGTGCTTCTCCTTCTTACTCTAGGCGTTCGTGCGAGTGTTTTCCAAGGCCCTGCAAGCGGAATATAAAGCAAAAGGAATCGTCATCCAGGTGAGGTGGACAACTGTGAGTGGGAACTCTGCCCTGTGGAGCCCAGTCCTGCCTCCCGCAGGTGGGGTCCCCTGCAGGTCTGACCGTGCATGTACAGCCTGCAGGAGATGGGCTGGGAGACACAGGTCACAGTGGCAACTGCAGCCACCGTGGTGCCCCCTGCAGCTGTGGCTCCTTCCACCCTCCTCTGTACCCTGGATACTGGAGGATGAAATGGAGCATGGGGAGCGGTTGCTCGGAAATGCTGGGGTCCTCTCGCCACGTGGTATTGCAACAGAACAGAAGTTGGAGTCTCTAACCGTGTTTTCCTCTCTGACAGGAGATAGGCTTAAGTGGGAGGAACTGTGGAGAAGGGACAGCAACGTGAAAACCCTAGGCACATGATCTGTGTTGGAAAGAGGGGAGGGCCTAGTAATAGGGAAGGGGTCTGCCCTTGGGTCGTTGGTCTGTGATGGACCACAGAGACGCCCACCCTGGTTCTCGGGCAGTAGGGGAAGGGGCATTCTGCTTTCCTTCCCTCTACGATACAGAGCTGGCATGGAGGTCACCTGTCCTGACCTAAGTAGAGCTGACTTGTCATTGCTGGCTGCAGGCTGGGCACGGCAACGCCCTGAAAAGGCAGGGGTATATGTGTGCTTGCTTTGAAAACAGGCTTGGTCAAGCAGCTCTCAGGACCTCGGACGAACAGTTCTCAGAGGTGTCTTTGCTTTGTAATTGGGAAGATTTATGACATACTATATAATGAATGAGAAAAGACGTAGAGTTTTATCTGTAAAACTACTGTGACACACACTGATTTTCTTTTTCTTTTTCTTTTTTTTTTGAGAGAGATTTTTGCTATAGGGCACTTGTACTCTCCAGAGAGACAGAGAGACAGAAAGTGAGAAATAACCTCCCCGGGGGTGGGGAGACACCACAATCCCTTCTCCATTCTCCTCTTGGGATTTTGGGCATGCACGCACACACATCTGGTGTAAGTTTGAAGGTGCCAGGTCCAGGATTCAAACCGCAGTCGACTATGTAGGAGTGCAGCGATGTAACCATTATGCCGTCTGCCGGTCCCCACACTGATTTTCAATTAAAATGCCCAGGTGAGGGTATCTCAGACGCCTGTTACCATAGGTTCACCAGCACGGGATGAAGTTTACTGAGCAGGCAGATATGAGTTAGTGGTTCGGGTCTGGCCAGTAGCATCATTTTCCCAGCCTCAGTGAGTGAGTGCATCCCCACCACTTTCTCTGCTCTGTGGAACTACAGTCTCACCCGCCCAGGGACTTCTTCCTCCTTCGAGGCTGTGCTGCTCATTCTCCAGCTCCCAGCCGAAGTGGGGGCTCCCTGCTGAAACATTGCTACTCCGCCTTTTTGCAACAGTGCTTCTCTACCCAGGATAACTTTGCTGCAGTAAAAAATATCCCCTAAAATCTTAGTGGCTTAAAATAGCATAGTCTTATTTTGTATTTGTGCTCCAAATTCACTGCAAGCCAGCAGGAAGTGATGCAGGGATCCAGGCATCCAGAGCAGTCACATGCCTGAATGTTGTCAGTTGACACATCAGAGAAAAAGAACCCGTGGTGGGGGTCCTAGAGGATCTTGCTTACGTGATGAAGTACTCTGGCCCCCAAATGGCACATGTCACTTCTGCTCATGACTCATTGGCCAGATTTGGTTACATGGTTCCGTCCAGCCACAAGGGTCCAGGCAGTGCCATTCCTAGAGTGTCTGAAAGAAAGAAGAACCAAGAAATCCTTGGGGGTTTCTAAACATGAGCAATTCCCACGGTTACCAGCTTCTTAGCCATGTTACTCCCTCGGCATCTTCTTGAGCTGGATCACGGTGGTCCAGAGATGCTGCGGCTGCCAAGGTCATGGGCCCCCTGAGGCAGCGGGCTCAGGAGGACATGGGAGTGGGGAAGGCATCCCTGACCTGATACAGAAGCCTAAGGCTGCTCTCTTAGTAGGAGATGGTGAAAAGACTGCGACCTTTCCGAAATCAGCTGTCCTCCCCACACAGTGTGTTTCGTGGGTACTTGCTAAGTGAGTGAGGGAGCACCGGATGTGTGTACCATGTTCACCCCAGCTCTGTCACTTGTCATGTGGGTGATCCTGGATAAACCCTGGGAGCCTCACTAAAAGGGGTTTATAGTATCTGCTTATTTCTCCGGGTTATCCTGAAGATCTAACGGCTATATAAGTTTACAAGTTTAAAAGGTATTTATTGAGGCCTCATTTTGTACATAAGGGTGTTCTGTCTATTGAAACTCACTGTAGAAATGAGAATACTTTGTATTGCTTCTCCATCTGGAAACCGCGATTGAGAATACATGTTCTTTATATTCTTGAAGAGTAACAGTGTGAGACGCTTAGAAGACAAATGTGCAAGTTAATCACAGCATTAATTTCTCTAAGAAACAATTTATCTGGGGGGCTAGCAGGTGACATAGTGGTTAAGGCATTGGCTCTAACATGGCTGACCGTGCAGCTTGAGTCCTGGTCCCGGTGACTTGAAGAATACACTGGGTATGTATGTGCATGTGCCAAAAATCCCAAGAGGAAAATGGAAGAGAAGGGATTGTGGCATGGCCATCCCCTCTCGGGAGGAGGGTGTGATTCCTCACTTTCCCTCTCTTACTGCCTCAGTCTCTCTGGTGAGCATGCATGCCTTATAGCAAAAGAAGAAAATGCAATTAGACTGATTAGCTCATAATTGGATCAATTATGGAATAATGTCATTTCAAACGTGATGCAAAGAAAAATCAAGAAAACGAGTGTGGACCCTTTTTCTTTCTAAGGATGCCAGGGTCTTTGTATCTGGGAATGAAGCACTAACACGTCATAAGAACGCTCCTGCCAGGCCAGCGTGGTTAGACCACAGGTGGACACATCGCGTTGGGTTTTCAGGGCCCAGCATGTGGTTGTTTATTTTTCTTATCACAGCTGGAAAGATGCCACTCATGGCTCCTAACTAGAGTGTGAAGGTGGGAATCCAAAGTGTTTTCAGCTGCTCCAATGTGGCTTGTATGTGTTAGAAACAAACTTCTGAAATAAGGTTGCCAGGCCAAATACAGAACATCCAGTTAAATTTGAATTTCAGATCAGTATAAATAATTTTCTAGTATAAGTACAACCCATGCAATATATCTATATATATTTTTTTTTTTGGAGAGGTTTTTTTGCTATAGGGCGCATGCGCTCGCTAGACAGAGAGAGAGACAGAGAGACAGAAAGCAGGAAATCGCCCCCCAGGGGAGATGGCCACGCCTCAATCCCTTCTCCTCCATTCTCCTCTCGGGATCTTGGGCACACACGCACATGTGCCCGGCGTGAGTTTTAAGCCACCGGGTCCGGGACTCGAACCGCGGTCGACTATGTGGGAGTCCAGCAACATAGCCATTACGCTAACTGCTGGTCCCCCTATGCAATGTTTAGAACGTAATTATGCTGAACATTTTTAAAAGTTTATTTATTTATTTCTTCTGTGCGTGCAAGAGAGAGAGAGAGAGAGAGAGACAGAGGAACCCCTAACATGGTCTTCACACTGTGATTCCACCCCCAGCCTCAGCTGGCCAGGATCACAGGCATGCACACATACATCTTGCATGCACAGGGAGACCTTGGGACGTGAACCCGGGACCTTCCCGCATGGCCTCAGCATTGTGGAATGTTGTGTTACCCCTGCACTGCTGAGGCTGAACTGAACTTTTTTTTTCATTGCTTGTCGGACCTTCTGCTTTAACTGGGAGTCCTGCTTTTTATTTGCTGCGTCTGACACCCATGGTCTGAGAGAGAGTTCTTGTCCTTGGTCCCTGTGTGGTTAGGAGAGCTTTGGAGGTTAAACGGTTTAGGCCTTATCATTTCAGATTTCTAAACTTTATAGACAGGAAGAAAAGAACTGGAAAATGGAGTGGTAAAGGGGTGTTCACTTCTCAGCCTTTCTCTATGCTGTGGTCTTCGTTTCCTATTGTAGGTGCTGACCCCATTTGCTATTTCAACCCCAATGACAAAGTATCTCAACGCCAACGTGATAACCAAGACTGCCGATGAGTTTGTGAAAGAATCGCTGAGTTACGTCTTGATTGGAGATGAAACCTGTGGCTGCCTTGCCCATGAAATCGTGGTAATTGTTAAGTTCTTCCTCTCTCTTTTTTTAAAGACGATTCTTTCATCAGTTAGAGAGACATAAAGGGAGCAAGACAGAGACGGGCACCCCAAAGGGTCTCGACACTGTGAGGGCTGATTTTAAGCTACCAACATGATGTCACTGCACATGAATCAAAAAACGCACACAGTCAGCTCACGTGAGCAAGTACGCAGCAGTTGCCCCACAGTGAACGCCATCCAATGTGAAAGTAAGTTTTGATGGCGTGTGGTACAAGTTCTTACCATTCTGGGCTACCCGGAAAACAAACACAAACCTGAAATGAAGACTTGAGCGTCGTTCACAGATACTGAAGTAAACAGCATTAGCCATGTCAGTGTAGTTCTATTCCCAGCCCCACCAAGAATTTTAGGTGGATTTTCCTCACTTCCCCATCATATGTTAACTTTCTCCTTGTCTCATTGGCTCCCCCCACCCTGCCCCTTTTTCAGAGGAAGATGTTTTCCTATACAGCATGTGCATTTGCCAGAGAGACAGACAGTAAGAAATCACCTCCTGGGATAATAGGCACACCACAATCCCTTCTCCTCCATTCTCCTCTCAGGATTTTGGGTATGCACACATACACAAATCCCTAGTGTGAGTTTTTATTTTTTTAATGACTGTTTTATTTAACTTAATGTATTTAATTTGACCAGAGAGGGACAGAGAGAGAGAGGAAGCCGCCAGGTCCGGACTCAAACCACAGTTGGCCATGTGGGGGTCCAGTGTCCTTAACCACCATGCCACTTGCCTGCCCCCTGATGTCAGTTTTAAGCCTTCGGGTTCTGGAATCAAACTATGGTCGACTACGAGGGAGTCCAGCGACGTAATCACTACGCCATCTGCTGGTCTCATCTCATTGTTTTTTTGTACCATGGGAATTGGATCTCTCTGTCTTTCTCTCTCAGATGCTGGAAGGATTCAGGGCTCATGCACTGAATTTTCCCAAAGCATTTATCTACCTCCTTAGCCTTTCAAAGGCTGGGAAGAGATATTGAGCTTTCTTATATGATTACTTGCTGTTTTTACCACAGAACCTTAACAATGTATAGAATCTCCAATTTCACTCACACTACAAAGTGGACATGCCGAAAGAAGATCTTTATTTTGCCTGTCGCTGATCTTTATCTTGCTTTTCTTCAAATCGCCAGCTGCGATGGTGATCACGACAAACGAATAGAACGTCCAGTGAGTCTAAACTTAGTTTGGTCTCTTCACCTAAACTAGCCATTGAGGAATCGTATCTTCAGTTATTGCTGGGAGAAAAATGTTGTCTTTCTGGAAACTTCCCTTTTTTCCTGCTTCTCATTAAGATGACATTGGGGAGCCAGCAGGTGGAGCAGGGGTTAAGGTGCTGGACTGCCCCATGGCTGATCACAGTTCGAGTCCCGGACCTGGCAGCTTGCTTTCTAACTTTCTCTCTCTCTTTCATCTCTCTCTGGTGAGTGCACATGCAATATTACAAATTTAAAAAGAATAGTAATAACACATTACATACATAAATATCCTTAAAAAAATAAATGACATTGAGGTTGAGTCCTGTGACCCGTGCAGGTCTGTGTGTGTTGGCTGGCGTTCTTCTCCTTCACCTCCCTGGGTAGCTGCTCATCTTGCTGGAATTTTTGTCTGTGGAGGGTGAAGGTGATAAAGCTTTCTAGCATTTCGGCTTGGCCAGGGCCTCCTCAGCTCTTGAGAGCTACAGACCCCTGAATCTCTGCCACAGCCCTGGCCTGTCGACAGGCCTGCATCCATCTGGATCAGAGGGCTCTCTGGCTCTCAGCTCTGCACCAACATGGACTGAGGAAAGCTGGGAAAACCCGGTCTCAGCACCAGCCTCTCCACGCTGAGATAATTTTCTGTAGGTGCATCCCAGAGTAGGACAGTAATCTCTCCACTGTCCTCGGTGACACCCTTACTTACTGTTTTACTTCCTCATCTTTACCCCAGTGCACCAGTCCCCTGCCCCTAGCTTTTTACCAGAAGTCACACGTATCAGAGGACACACGCCCGACCACTTCCCATCTTTCTCTCCTCCCACTCCCTTTGTCTCCAGGGCAGTAAGAGTGCAGACCGTGTGCACTTTCCCAGTGTCGCAGCCTGCCCTCCTCCAGGCTGGGCTCTCTCCAGGGCACACGAACCCCCTCTACCTTCAGGGGAACCTGTGATCTCAGTTCTTCAGGATGTGGGTGTCTTAAAAGGACTCCATCAACATCTGGAAAATGTTTTCTTTCTTTCTTTTTCTTTTTTAGAGAGATTTTCACTGTAGGGCGCGTGCGCTCGCCAGACAGAGAGAGACATAGAGACAGAAAGCGAGAAATCACCCCCCAGGGGGGATGGTCATGCTGCAATCCCTTCTCCTCCATTCTCCTCTCGGGATCTTGGGCACACACGCACACGCGCCCGGCGTGAGTTTTAAGCCACCAGGTCTGGGACACGAACCGCGGTCGACTATGTGGGAGTCCAGCGACATAGCCATTATGCTAACTGCTGGTTCCCAGGAAAATGTTTTCTTGAGACAATAGCCTGGCTTGCTACACATCTTGCTATGGAATCCAATTCTACATGTCAAAAGTGAATATTTTCTTGAACATTCTCTTTTGTTTTCTTTCTTCTTCTTTTTAAAAACTGGGGACGTATACACTCACCAGAAAAGAGGCAAAGAAGAGAGAGAGTGCACTGCCCAAAGGGTTGTACCATAATCCTCTTTTCCTCCATCTCTCCATCTCAGCAGAATTTGGGGCATGCACATACATGCACCAGTGTGCTTTTGACAAGCAGCCGGGGCTGGGCCTCACACCACAGTTGGCCCTGTGGGATCCAGTTCTCAATACACAGCATTTACCTGCCATTCTATGGGACCAGCCTGTCTTTTAATTTCTTAGGTAGCAAATTCTTATCTCCTCAGGAAAACAGATACCAACAACAGACAGTGGAAAATAATTTTTATGGCTTGTGAAACTTTAGGGAAAAGCTAATGAAAAGAAATAAATCCTTAAAACTAGTTTGGATTTTTCTGGGATTTGGAAAGATTGTTCAATCTAAAGTGGTGGGTAATCCAGTAGAGTCAACTGGTAGACCAGTGACCCTTCCATCCCAAAGGGGAGAGGCAGAGAGCAGTCCTCCACCCACAAGAGGGTTTGAGGCTGGAGACAGGGAAGGGATGGAGCCCTCCTAAAGAGTCCAGGTCGCTTTTGAAGGCCTCATGTATGTTCTCTCACCTAATCATCCCAATAGTCAGAGCCAATCACAGTTCTCAAAGACATAATCCTCAACTCCATAATCCCGAAGGCTGAAATTATGAAAAATCAAAATCCCTCATGAAAGGGTTTCCTTTTGCTGTGAGTTTCTTTCTTTCTTTCTTTCTTTTTTTTTTTTTTTTTAAAAAAAAGCATCTCTGTCTTTGAAAAACATTTCTTAAGAAAGAAGCTATGTTGATTTGCTGGCTTGACGAGAGTGGAAGATTTCAACTTTGGTTCCCAGAACCCATCTGCAGCGCCCTGCCTTGGAATATCTCAGAGGAAGGCAAAGATTTCTGAGCTGCTTGAAAAATCTCTAGTTTTCCTGTTTGAAATTCTGTTGTTTTGCAAGGAATAGATAAATTAAGAAATGTTAGATTAACGAGATCACACCATGGACAAAATGATTATTTTTGTGGGTCTGGTTCCCTCTTACAGGACACAGGTGTGATTTTCCAAGATCTGTGCCTACAGCCCGAAATGCATTTAACGAGGCATTCATGCCTTAACTTAAGGCTTCCCTTCCTTTTAAAAGTAAACGCTGGTCCAGCAGGTAGCATGGTAGCTAAGGCCCTGGATCCCATGTGGCCAACTCAGCAGTTGGAGTCCCACATCCGGTGGCTTGAAAAACATGTTGAGTGCATGTGCATGGGTGCCCCAAATCCTGAGAGAATGGAGGAGAAGGGACTGTGGCATGGCCATCCCCCTGGGGGGTGATTTTTCACTTTTCCTCTCTCTGTGTCTCTAACTGTCCTTCTCCAGTTAGCATGTATGTCCTCTATGGGAAAAGAGAGAGAGAGAGAGAGAGAGAGAAAGGAAGAGAAGAAAGAAAGAGAAGCAAACCCTACAATGTAATAAGTTACACCTTTCTGTAACTGGCTTTCCATTCTTAACTCATGCGTGTGTTCACGTATTTGCTTGGTGCCCCCTTGCCCACTAGGACTCGGGCATGGTACCAGGTGATGGAAAGCACGCCTGATTCTTTCCTTCCATTTGCATTTTTTTTTTGTGCCTGAGAGAATGTGCGTTCACCAGAGATAGAGACAGAGAGACAGAGAGAGGGGAAGAGAAAGTGCACCCCAGGCAGAATAATTCACCACAATTCCTTCTTTTCCATCTCTCCCTCCTTTCAGGATTTCGGGCACACATACACACATGCCTGGTGTGTTCCTTAAGCCATTGAGTCTGGGATTCCAACTGTGTGGTCGGCCATGTGGCTGCCTTAACCACCAGGCCACTGAGCCAGTCCCCTGGAATCTTATTTTAATAGACCCTTTTTAGAAGGAGCATGAAGACACTAACAGGGGAGCCTCCAGGAAAAGCAAGAGCTCATTAAGAGAAAGAGACGGTCTGGGGAGGCCGTTAGCAGAGTGTTCTCTGAGAATTTCCTCAGGGCAGATGTTAACAGGGTGTCCACAAAATTTCAAGTGACTGCTTTGATGTTTGACAAAAAATTGTTTCTTGAGAGAGTGCCACAAGACCTTCAAACTTCAGCAACTACTTAACAGATCTGGGGACTTCACTTTTGTAGCCAGAAAAAAATAGTTTATTTTTTAACTAGTTAATTAATTTTTAGGTTTTTGCTATAGGTTGTATATGCCTGCCAGAGAGAGACAGAGAGAGCAGGAGAGAGGGAAAGTGAGAAATCACACCCCAGGAACATGGCCATGCCGCAGTCCCTTCTCTTCCATTCTCCTCCTGAAATTTTGGGCACGCATGTACATGCACCCGGCATGAGTTTCAAGTCACTGGGTCTAAGACTCCAAGTATGGTCAGCCATGTGGGAGTCCAGCACCTTAACCACCACGCTACCTGCTGGCCCTGAGAGATTATGCGTAAAGGCCGTGAATACACACTGAAGTGTATGAGTTCTAACTCCCTCGCCCTTCTCCCAGATACTCACTTTTTGTCTGTTTAAGGCGAGCTTCCTGAATCTGGTCCCGTCCTGGGCCACCTGCAGCAGCATGTTCCAGAAGGCACTCCTGACTCGATACGCAGAGTACCTGAAGCAGAACTCCAGCCTTGGGTAACCTGGGCAGAGGTGCTGCAGTCCTGTGCTGGCTTAAGAGGACCACAGACCAAACCAGCCCCTGTCCCCC